ATTTTAATTTTTTATTTTTTATTTTATTTTAATTAAATTTGATATAAAAATTTATATAAAATTAATTATAAATATTATATTTAATAAAATTTTACTTATATCATAAGAGCACATATTAAAAAATTTTATTTATTAAATATACAATTAAAATCATTAACATGATATTGATTTAGAAAATAATTAATTATTAAAAATTACTTAAATGAACTGTTGAATAAAATTTTGTGTAATAATAACAATAGTGGTGATGATGGCCCAATGGTGAAAACTCCAAAATGTGTGTTGAGGGAATGGGGTTCAAATTCCCTTGTGCACAAAGTTAGTGAAAAGTTTTCACAATTTGTGAACTAAACAGTTTATCGATTCAAAAGCAAATGGATTTGATCAGTTTCTCTAAATTTGATCAAGTTTGACTAACTTTAACTAAATCTACTACAAACTAGGCTGTCAAAACTTCGATCCATCTTATAACTAATTTTGGTTTAACCAATCGAATCGACTGATTTGATCCGAACTTTAAAACAATGGTTGTAAGGAAGAAATGATTCTTCACCTTACATCTCTTATCCTCTTTTTCCTTATTTGATCACATAGGTCCACAAACCAAAACTGGTTGCAAAAGGGAAAAATCGTCATCTCTTGTAAATACATGCATACATATATAGAAAAAAAATGGAGATACATGTGCTCAGATGAGAGAGGGAAAACAAGTTTTCCACTTACCAAATAGAGAGACAAAGAAGGAAAGCTGATCAAACTCCAATTTTTTGATAAAAAAATTATTGTATAGTTTAAATTGTATTAGTTACATAATTTAAATTATTAAATGGATATAGGTTTTTTGATATTAGGAGTTATCCTTTATCTAATAAATCTTATTTTGTAATTTAATACAATCCAAATGTCATAAAACAATGGACTCCTTTTGATATGCACGTAGGATTAGAGATGATTTTTTTATGGGTTTCCCAACCTATTCTCTCTGTCTTAGCATAATAAATATTTGTTGGTTTTATCTTCTATTTAAGAATTTAAGAATAATTTTTACTTTTATCTCTTTTATCTTTAGTATATTCGACTTGAGGAGAGGGAAGGAAAGAGGAATAGTGAAAATTCTTCTATTTGGTTAATAAAAAATTTGAAAGAGAGGACGGTTTATTCAAATAAGAAAATGGAAGGGGAAAGAAATAAAATGATATCATATTCTTTTATTTTTTTATTTTTTTCAAATTAAATATATTATTAAATAAAAAATAAACATAATTTTTTTATAAAAAATAATTAAAATTAAAATATTTAAAATAAAAATGGAAAAAAAGTTTTCTTTAAAATAAAAAAAAATTATTTAAAAATAAATTCTAAATGAAAAAGGAATACTTTTAAGGACATATGGAGGAGATCGAATACTGTTTTCACTTTTCACTTTAATTTCCTTGCGAAGATTCTGGCCCATGGTGGGTGTGAAGGGCTGGTCAATTGGCCGTGACGATGATGGCGTTAGGACTTTTAGTACAGATTTTTTTGGCCCAAAGAGCACTGAGCACCATCGACTTCGTTTTCTTCTGTTAAAGATGAGGCTTCCTTACAGTTGTCCGGTGATGGGCTTACACTTCCAAACTTTTGTGCTCTTTTTACAGCCCTATACTTTATTTTTTGGTACATACAGACAGCCCTATACTTTATTTTTTGGTACATACAGACAACCCTGTACTTTATTCTGACATGGTCCAGATAAAAATATCATATTCTTTCTTGATAATTTTTTATTATAAATATTATATTATATTTTAATTTTACATTTTTTATTTTATTTTAATTAAATTTGATATAAAAATTTATATAAAATTAATTATAAATACTATATTTAATAAAATTTTACATATATCATAAGAATACATATTAAAAAATTTTATTTATTAAATATATAATTAAAATCATTAACATGATATTAATTTAAAAAATAATTAATTGTTAAAAATTACTTAAATGCACTGTTGAATACAATTTTGTGTAATAATAACAATAATGGTGTTGGTGGCCCAATGGTGAAAACTCCAAAACGTGTGTTGAGGGAATGGGGTTTGAATTCCCTTCTGCACAAAGTTGGTGAAAAGTTTTCACAATTTATGAACTGGATAATTCATTGATTTAAAAGCAAACGGATTTGATCAATTTCTCCAAATTTGACCAAGTTTGACTAATTTTGACCAAGTTTGACTAACTTTGACCAAGTTTACTACAAACCAGGCTGTCAAAACTCTTATCGATCTTATAATTGATTTTGGTTTAACTAGTCGAATCGACTGATTCGGTCTGAACTTTAAAACAATGGTTGTAAGGAAGAAATGATTCTTCCCCTTACATCTCTTATTCTCTTTTTCCTTATTTTGATCACATAGGTCCACAAACCAAAACTGGTTGCAAAAGGGAAAAATCGTCATCTCTTGTAAATACATGCATACATATATAGAAGAAAAATGGAGATACATGTGCTCAGATGAGAGAGGGAAAACAAGTTTTCCACTTACCAAATAGAGAGATAAAGAAGGAAAGCTGACCAAACTCCAATTTTTTGATAAAAAAAATTATTGTATAGTTTAAATTGTATTAATTACATAATTTAAATTATTAGATGGAGATAAATTTTTTGATATTAAGAGTTATTTTTTATCTAATAAATCTTATTTTGCAGTTTAGTACAATCCAAATGTTATAAAACAATGGACTCTTTTGATATGCATGTAGGATTAGAGATGATATTTTTATGGGTTTCCCAACCTATTCCCTCTGTCTTAGCATAATAAATATTTTTTGGTTTTGTCTTTTATTTAAGAATTTAAGAATAATTTTTACTTTTTATCTCTTTTATCTTTAGTATATTCGACTTGAGGAGAGGGAATATTTTTAAGTCTTCTTTAAAAATATAAAAAAATATTATTTAAAAATAAATTCTAAATGAAAAAGGAATATTTTTAAGGACATATGGAGGGGATCGAATACTGTTTTCACTTTTCACTTTAATTTCCTTGCGAAGATTCTGGCCCATGGTGGGAGTGAAGGGCTGGTCAATTGGCCGTGACGATGATGACGTTAGGACTTTTAGTACAGATTTTTTTGGCCCAAAGAGCACTGAGCACCATCGACTTCGTTTTCTTCTGTTAAAAATGAAGGCTTCCTTACTGTCGTCTGGTGATGGGCTTACACTTCCGAACTTTTGTTCTCTTTTTACAGCCCTATACTTTATTTTTTGGTACATACAGACAACCCTATACTTTATTCTGACATGGTCAAGATAAGAATATCATATTCTTTCTTGATAATTTTATCTCCTTTCTTTTCTTTACTTTTCAATATAGATATATATATATATAAAGATTTATTTATATATAAATTTTATATAATATATTTATACAAAATTTTAATTATTTATTTTTTTATTTTTAATAGTTAATATTTATTCATATTTATTAATAATAATTATTTTTATCTAAAAAGTCTTAATAAATTTTAACTATTAATAGTAAAAAAATAAATAATTAAAATTTTATACAATTATACTATATAAAATTTATGCAGAAGTGGATTTCTTCTCTATATTTTTTCTGGGGCAGGGAGTGATCGAGTGACCTTTGGTTTTTTCAAAGATTTTTCCAGTTTTAAAAGAAGTTTCTTAAAGAATGGAGATGCATGCAAAAAGCTAGTAGTACTCTTAGTCAATTTGTTCACATGGAAGAACCACGTAGAACGTGTGGGGTGCATGTACCGAATCAGAGTAGAATTTCGATTCAATTGAGATGTTATTGTCATGTAGCGATTTCGGTGAAGATAAAATTGTTACCATAAAAATGAATTCCTCAAGAATAGATTCAATAGACATATGATTAATCAATAAGGTATAGTTCGACAAGCAAAGAAATAGAGTGGTCGTGCCTTCAATGCATCACACAAGAACCAAATATTTTTCATTGAGTTAGGATTTAAAATATGGTTTATAATTTATAAATTGGCAAATAACTTGACTACATGAGTCAAACTAAATTAAGATAAACATGTTGATATTCTTTTTGATAATCTTTACTTAGTCTGTGTAAAGATGATGGATGCTATTTTTTTCAAGATGGCATATACTTTAAATAAAAGATGATTATTTCTATTTTCATGAAATTTAGATTTAAATTACTATTTATAAATTAGTAGATAACTTGATATAAATCAAATTCAAGTAAAATAAGAATATCGACATTCTTTCTTGATAATCTTCACTTGTTTCTTTTGAAAATAACTGATGTTATTTTTAAAAAAATATGGTAGATATTTTAAATAAAATCTTCCTAAAATTCACAAAAAAAATGTAAAGTTTTAAATTTTGTTTTCACAAGGAAAAAAAGAAAAAGAAAAAGAAAAAAACAAAATACACTACTCATGAAAATGTATAGTGTTTGGGATGATTGGATGAGGATGATCATACATATATAAAATCAATTCAAATTCCAAACCGTTGTCTAAATGTGTATTGGTGTTGTGAGATTTATAGAACCGCTTAGATATCTTATGGCCAATATTTCTTCATGGTGTGACCAACAAATTTTGTGAACACACCCTGAGGTTTGAACCGGACCGGTCAATGATTGTGGTTGAAACCCAATTTTGGACCGAAAATGTTAGCCGTACTAATATGGTAATATGTGTTTTTTATTGACAGAAACAAAATATAATTATTAGGGGTACAAGAAATATATTAACCTGTTATATAATTAATTAAGTTCAACTAAATGTTTTGTAGGTGAAATTTGGATTTCTAGTAGTGTTTGTTACACAAGATTTTGGTTTTTTAAATATCCTATATGGCATTACAATATCCCTAAAGAAAACTATAAAATATAATGTAAATTACTAGTAATAATGTATTAGGGATGGGTGGGGAAGTGGTTTGGTTCTCCTTAGTTTAGACTTTTTGTGGCTTGGTAGGAACAATTTGGTTTGCAGAAATGGCATGCTGGATGAAGGGCGGATTTTTGATGTAGTACAGGCTCGGTCCCTTCAATGGATTAAAGCAAATACGAGTGGTTGCTACTTCATTCTTAGAGACTGATGCAAGAACCAAAATAGTGCATGAAATTTGTGTAAGGACGTATGTAAAACACCAAAAGGCCGGGAAAATAATTAAAAGTTGTGCTTCTATTTTATTTTACTGGAGAGTTGTTTTGATAACTTTGTATCTATACTGATACTGAGTTGGAAGTGGACAAGAGTTAATTAAGTATTCTTTGTACTTATTAATAAAATTATTTTTGGCTAGTAAAAAAAACAATACTAATTTACTATAGATGATTTTTTTTTTGGTTACAATAGGTAGAATATTTTTTTTTTCAGATCAATTTTGTTGTGAGTGAAGACGAATCGAGTAAAGGGGTGAAATAAAGGGAAAAGAAAGTGAGGAAAGGCATGTCAGAATTTAGAATGAAATTTGTGGCCAAAACAGAGGCTGTGATCCTTTGTGGAATGACAGCCAATGTATACCATTCCTCCCTTAAGTTTGAGAGAGATTTCTCCTTTTGTTTTCAATTAAAACAGAAGAAAAAGACTTTTGCTAAGAAAGACAATGTGTGGAATGATGGGATTCTGGCCCAACGACTGAATAAAATTCAATCAGAATAATGGGATATGGACAGGTCCACTTTATGCTTTAGAATTTTGAGGTATCACCTTTGCATATGCATTCATATAAGTTTTTTTTAAAAAAGTAGAATAAAATTTAGCCCAATGATGAACCAAATTTTGTTGAAAAACAGATTCTGTTGATGGAACAGAAGATAAAAGGCAGTTAACAGTACACCATAGCCCATGTATAAATAGGTATCTCGCGTTATATCAACCTATGAGCCATAAGCAAGAAACATAATTGAATCCAACATTGATATCAATCATGCCCAGAGATAGATCAGATCCTCTTGTTGTTGGGAGAGTTGTAGGGGATGTTTTGGATCCCTTTACAAGGTCCATCTCTCTCAGAGTGTCCTACAATAACAGGGAGGTTACCAATGGCTGTGAGTTCAGGCCTTCCCAACTTGTCAACCAGCCTAGGGTTGATATTGGTGGGGATGATATGAGGACTTTCTACACCTTGGTATGTTCTCTTCATCTGAACATCTTTTAGGGTTTTTGGTTATATGTAAATATATGTATATAGTCATTCATATTGAATTTCATGTAGGTTATGGTTGATCCTGATGCTCCCAGCCCAAGTGATCCGAACCTTCGAGAGTACTTGCATTGGTAAGAAACAATCCCTTCCTCTCTTCTCTGTGAGTTTTGTAAAGTTAAGTTGTTGAGTTGATAATCACAAACTTCAAATTTTTTCATTTTAAAGTTAACATTAGGGATTTAAATTTCTGCAATAATTAAACAAAATGGTATAGTTGAGATTTTTAGCTTTTTCTCTCTCTTTTTCCTTTTTTTTTGGTCTCAATTTCACGCCATCTTCTTCTCTCTAATTTCTGGGAGTTGTGTGTTTGATTGAGATGATATATGGGACCAAAATGAACTGATACATATGGTAACTTTCTTTTTCGTGGCACAGGACCACACCACCAAACCTGACAATGGAAAGAACACAATATATATATATATATATATATATATGTATATGAATCTTCGGTTTAATTAACTAATAGCAGCTATATATAAATGGAAACAATCCAACTCAGCTACCGTGCCAAGGAATTGTGTAGTTGAGGGGCTTAAAGGGACTAAATTATCTTTAAGGAGCTTACTCTGGGCAAAATTAAGGCAAAAGGTTTGATTAGAACAAACGACTTAGTTAAGTAGTTGATCCTTATAGGGTTATTCCAATTAATTCATTTTGGCATATATATATTTTTTAATTCACTTTCCAGTTTCCCTTGAACTGATTGGTCCATATATATTCTCTCTTATTCTACATAGATTTTCAGTGTATTGACTGCTGAATTTCATCAATCCAATTTTTAGGTTGGTAACTGATATTCCAGCAACCACTGGGGCAAGCTTTGGTGAGCAAATTATCATAACCCTTCTTCTTCTTCTTCTTCTTCTTCTTCTTCTTCTTCTTCTTCCCTCTTTTTTTTTCCCACTTAGAATGAACAATGATTCATGGATTGATTGATTACTTGGACAAAATGTACCATGATTCTTTTTTTCTCTAACTTGTTTTCTTGTTAGCTTCAGTTCTGTTATGTCTTTGTCTATGTTGGGCAAAAGAGGGATTTACTTTTCCTTGTGGCCTACATAAACCCTTTTAAATCTAATCATCTCAAACTCATGTGATCTTTTCCTCATATTTTTGTGTTAACCTTCTGGAAAGTACTCTGTTGGGGCCATTGCTTCTTATTGATAAATTTGCTTGTCAAATGCAACACGACTTTCCCAAAATTGATAGTAGATGTAGCCACTTTACCTGTTAAGATAGAGCCTAGTGTCACCACAAGAATTAGATACATAGTTTCGTAAATGCAAAGAAAATTACCTGCAATTTAATTAAATTACTTATTTAGTTTTTTAACTTTAAAACTTTAATTCTAGAGTTACTAAATGCAAGGACTCAGATTTTATGATGTCTTATCCCAAATCCTACATTAGAATATTCATAAGCAATAGATAAATATCAGGTTAATTATTGTTAACAACTTATGCTTGATTTCTTGAGGGTCACGTGAATATCAATATATGCAATGTGCTATCCAACAAAAAATAAGTTGACTCAAAAGCAAACATTATTGTTTCATCGTGTTAAAATTGCTATACCACCTACTGATGTTTGAAATAATGTTGTGTAGGACAAGAAGTTGTGTGTTATGAAAATCCGGGACCATCAATCGGCATTCATCGTTTCGTGTTCGTACTGTTTCGCCAGCTGGGGAGGCAGACAGTTTATGCACCCGGGTGGCGTCAGAACTTCAACACCAAGGACTTTGCTGAGCTTTACAATCTGGGGTCGCCGGTGGCTGCTGTTTACTTCAATTGCCAGAGGGAGACTGGGACCGGTGGACGGAGAGGATAACTGCGGAGAAGGGAATGGAATTATTAGTCTATATATATAGTTGGAAGTGATTACTGTCAGTGGGAAGGATATATAATACTGAAGGAAGCTAGTATAAAATAATTACGGTGTTCACTTGCAGCTTTATCTAAGTAGTAAGCGAAGCAGTATTGTATGGGATATATATATATATATATATATCTAAATATATGTAATAACATCTTTAACAAAATGAATAAAACATAGCTACATAGGATTGTAGCACTATTAAATATCCAATTGGCAGCTTCATTTTCGAAATACTTCTATATAATTTGTGGTGTTATATGATGTGTAATTCCATAGTGAAGCCAATAAAAAGATAATTATTGAGAGTTCAATCTATAAATTAGTTTTTATATATTTTAAAATTGGTATTTTTTCGTGAATCTTAAGAGCAAATAATTATGTTTTAAAGTCAATGATCTGTTTTTAAGCGGTTGGGTAGGGTGTGATGCACAAAAATTTGTACATGATCATATCATATAGATAAATTAAAAAAAATTATGGGTGGTGCAAATCTTATATATTGAGTCAATTTAATGAGGGAGGGAAATATAATGAACTCCAAATTAATGACAATACTCAGTTTTGAAAGAAAAATTAAGTATGATAAAATTTGGTTAATATTGAAAATATAAAATAAAAAAATCAAATGAAAACATTTGTTAAATAATTAAAATATAAAGGGTAAATATAAAGTTGTGTCCTAAATAATTTCAATGTGTTTACAAATTGAATAGTTCCAAAATCTTAGAATTCTTAATAACTAGTCCTAATAATATTTTAATTTCTTTTTTAATAACCCATTACAACTGTATTTTATTAGCCTGCAAACAATAAAAGAATATGAAAAATTGCATTTCAATGATTTGGTTTGAGGCAAGTGCACTTTATTCCGAAGTATCAATTTTGTGGTTAAAAATTGGCATTTTGAGGGTTATATGACATTACAAGGCACCGGCCAATATGTACTGTCTTAGAGTTGGCCATTCGTACTGTCTTAGAGTTGGCATGAAGACAAAGGCGTGTGAGAGAGAAGAGGAAAGGAAGATTGAAAGAGAAAGAAGAGAGAGAACTGAGAAGTGATTGAAAAAGAACCCACTAAGGGTACTACTTGCAACATTCTAACCAAAAATACATAAACATAACAACTTAAGGCTTATAACCGAATAGACATCAAGGTCTCTTAGAGGATGTTTAATGATCAAAAATTGAGTTTTTACATTCAAGATCTCAATTTTGAGAGAGGTGAAAAGGGATTTGAAGATAAAAAAAAGTTATTTTTTACTTTTTAGCTCATAATTAAATGTGTTAAAAAACCAAACATATAACATCAAGAGTCATGTACAACTCTTTAAAACTTATGGGCAGAAGCCTATACATTTCCCCAATTTAGTTTTCTGATTGTTTTCCATTTGATAAAATGACTATGACATATGTAAGAGACTTTGAATATTTGTTGATATTGTGCATATATTCACCTTTACACCAGTAACTTTATGAGTATTTATCTCATTATTAATAATTAAGAAATTTTCACTTATTAATGGTGGATGTAACTAAATTAAAATTGTTTATACCAAATAATGATAGAAGAATTTAAATATTATATTTCATCAAAATTTCTCTTTTTATTATTTGAGCTAATTCCCATTAACATAAGAGATTTTATTTATTTATTTATTTTTACACGGTTAGCAATAGATTATGATAAAAAAAACTCTTTTTTTATAAAAAAAATTCTTCCACACCTACTCAAAGTTCTAAGTTAAGATCCTCAAACTAAATTTCAAGCCAACTAGTTTAGCCTCCCTTGAATGTAAAGAGACCTTGTCGAATGGAATTAGGGTTTGAACTTTGAAATGTAATTATTAGTCAAGTTTTTGTTAAGTTCTTACTCTGTCAAGGAACCGTGTTTAGCGCAGAAAATCAGCGATTAGATGGATTAGGCGGGATTAGTAATTAACCACCACTATTTTGTACTGTTGAGTGTTGACTGAAATGACCTTGTAAATTGGCAATAATGCTGTTTTCTGGTTCATTTTCCTTTTGCTTTAAGAGTTATACCCAAAAAACAAGTGTCGTTATTGTGACAACAAAAATGTTAAGGTTATAATTTTTTTCTTAAATAATGTTTAAAAAATAAAAATATTAGTTTATTAACTAATTTTAATTTATTAATTAATAAATATTAATTATTATGTTAGTTATTAGTTATAATTATTAATTATTTTTATTAGTTAAGGTAAATAAAATTAATATTTTTAAAAATAATATTTTATATTTTTTGCTGTCTTAATATATATTTTATTTGGTGGGCATAACATTTTCTTACAAAATTATTTTATAATTTAAATTGTGTTAAATTATAAAATAAAAAAATTATTGATAAATTGGCAATGTATAACAGCTTGTAATCTGTCATAATATCAATGAGAGAAAAGTCTGAGCACCACAGGCCACGAAAAAGCTTAATTACTGTTTATCATCTTCTTCCTTGCAATTTTCTCGTCCATTATCTATTTTGCTTTAACAGATCTTATTAAAAACAAGTTAAAAAATTAGAACTTCTTTTAGTCTTATGAATTTACAGGTTCAAGACCATTTTGCAAATACATATGGCAAAACTTTATATTTGCCCAAATGATTAATTTCTTTTATGCTTTGGAAGCTAATTATAGAATAAAACTAATGACGCAAAATGGAAATGCCTACACTTTCCCCAAAAAGTATATGTTCTAAAGTCACGGAGGGTCTGTGAAAATGCTTATCCAAACAGGCATTGTGTGGCCCAATGATGCCATAAAAATCTAGAGCTGAATTGTCCTTGTGGAGAATATGTTGAACAGTGCAAGAACCAATTATATGAGTATTCTATATTCCAGTTCAGATTGCATCATATTAAAAAAACAAGAATGATTGGATAAGGAAGGAGCTCGTCTCTCATCTAACTATATTTATTATAAAATTTAATATAATTTAAATTATATAATAATTTTTTTATAATTATTATTAATACTAAAACTAACGTCATCATATACAAAATATTTAGTGAGACTGTTAATTGCTCGTTGAGTTTAGAGATGACATAGTGTTCAATCATATATATATAGGTGGTGTTTGCTGAATTTTCAGCCACATATGTTGCAGATTTTTTGTGTGACAGATGGAAAAGATATATTTGAAAGTAGGACCATTAGGAACTTACGCACTAGTTCTGGGGTTCTACTCTTACGCACACAAAACTTGTGGAAAATTCCTCCCTCTCCAAATATTTCCCATGTTAAAAAATATATATAATATGGATAAAAATTTACTTATACATGAATTTTATACATTATATTTATGTAAAATTTTAATAACTTATCTCATCACTTTTAATAGTTAAAATTTATTCATATTTTTTAAGAATACTACAAGTTTGTATTTCTCCAAAATTCTCCAAAATTCCCTTCAAAGGTGTATGTACAAATTACACCCAAGCATCTCTAGGGAAAAACAATTTTCCTCTCACTATGCTACCTGTTGTAATCTATAACGATGAATTACAATTTGAATAATTTCCTCCCTTTCCTTCTTAGTACTAAAAAACAATCTGCTGTTTCTTTCACTCCATATAAAATAGATAGTAACTGCAAAGAGAATTTTAAGTTGCTTCATTGCATTGCTTCTTCCTTTACATCTTCTTATAGTAATCGCTTCCAATCCCAACTCCTTTGCCTAGTACACCGGCTCAAGCCTATATGTAGTAAAACTTCATTCTAGATATGTCTTAACAATCTGCACTTGAAGAATAAATGCTGGACATCCTCCACTTCATCCTCACAAATAGGCAATTCCCATCAATTGACATGCCTCTATTACATAGCAAAGTTTTTGTTTTTAGCCTTTGCTTCCCTAACAACCATAACATAAAACTTTGACGTGGTCGAATAAACTTAGCCCAAATATTAGAACACAATTCTACTTTACTCCTTCTCGGTCTCAACAATTCATAACAATCTGATATGGAAAAAAATACTAGGTTTACCATTTGCTATTATCCAAACTACACAATCTTGGCATCTTTGGAGTTGTATACATTGGATACTTCCTGCAATCCTTGGATGTCTTCTCTTGAAGGTCGTAGGAACATTTCGCTTACATTGTGTTGCCAACTATAACACTACCAAATTTGGACCCCATGTTGTAATCTCATTGGCTAGTCCCTCTCGTTCAACTAGCCTTCCAATCTCCATCCAATAGTCATAGAATAAAGAAGTTTGGAGCCCATCACACCTTCATCACTATATTCTGTTTTAAGAGAGGCCTCAACTATAACATCTCCCTCCATGACCACGCATAATCTTGAGGAATGCTTGTTGCCCATATATTGACCCCTGTCAATTTTTCTTTTGCCCACTTGGCCCATAAGGAATCATGATCAGTACAAATCGTCCACAAGTGTTTTGCCATTGCTGCCATATTCCAAATTTTAACTTGTTTAATCCCTAAACCTCCTTCTAACCTTGGAAGGCATACCTCCTCCTATGAAACAAGGGCTAAACCCGATTTATCCCAACTTCCAAACAATAGGAAATTCATATATAATTGTTCAAACAATTTAATAACTTTCACCAGTAAAATAAACATACTGCTCTAAAAAACTTGCATTAGGAACAAAACTGATTTGAGTAATTGGAGTCTCCCTACAAAAGACAACAAATGGTTTCCCTACGCATCCAACTTCCTTTTAAGCTTTTCAATTAATGGTTGACAATCCCCCACAAAAAGCTTAGTTGGAATCAATGAAACACCAAGATATTTAATCGAGAGTTTGCCTTCTTGATACCCCGGTATATTAATTATCCTTCTCCTTCTCATGATGGAAATACCACTCACAAAACACATGACTTTTCCCCTTATGAACCTCGAGGCCTGACATTTTAGAAAATTAGTTAACAATTTCCTTCAACTTTTGGCATGAATATTCCTTTGCTTTACAAAAAAATCATAAAATCATCAACAAATAGCAGGTGGGTTAGTTTTAGCCCCTTATAATGCAAATGGTACTGAAACCGAGCATTTATCTCCATAGACTTCATATGTCTTGAAAGATATTCCATCCCTATAACAAACATGTATGGGGAAAGAGGATCTCCCTACCTTAGCCCTCTTTTCCCTTGGAAGTATTCATTTGGAACTCCATTAAAGACCAATGAAGAACTGGTAGAAGACATGCATAGCATTATCCAATTCACAAACTAACTAGGAAATTGTAAGCCATTCAAAATAGACCTCAAAAAATTCCAATCCAATGAATCATAGGCCTTCTTCAAATCTAATTTCATTAGGCATCTAGCGGCTCTATCTCTATGATAATTTCTCACAAGGTCTTGACAGATGAGGATATTTGTCATTATAGATATATCCTTAACAAGGGCACTTTGGTTAAAGCTAATGATCTGACCAAGCATTCCTTGCAACCTATTAACCAAGACCTTTGCAATAATTTTATAAACAACATTATAGCAAGATATAGGTCTAAAGTCTCCCACAAAGTTTGAATTTGTTATCATTGGGATGAGACATAAGTTCGTTGCAGTTATCAGCTTCAATATCTTGGTTGAATAAAAGAAATCCTTCATTGCCATTGGCACTTTCCTTCCAATTATAATCCAAGTAGTCTTTAAAAAAAAAAACCAAATGAAAAGCCATCTAGCCCTGAAACTTTATCCTCATCTATTGAGAAAATTGCTTGTTTTACCTCAACATTAGTAATAGGACTAACTAGTTGTTTTGCATGTTTATATTTATTAAAGATAATTATCATTTTTACTTAAAAAATCATGATAAATTATTCAACTACTGAAAGTAGAAAGATGAATGGTCAATATTTTTATAAATCTAATGTGTAAAAACTTGTATTGAAATGGATCATTCCTTATACAATATATATTTAGTGTAGATCACATTAAACTAGGTATAGTCATTTCATTCCTTATATAATATATATTCATTGTAGATTACATTAAACCGGGCCATTGCCATACAAGAAAATGTTACAATTTGAAATATTTTTTAAATGTTGTCTTCAAAAACACTAACTTTGTTTGATTAAATTATTAAAAATAGTTAATAAATATAGTTATAAACTATATCTATAAACTTAATCAATTGATATCAATTTATAAATTTATATTTTTAAATATCATAATTAATTTTTTAAGAAAAAATTACAATTTAGTGGTCATAAAATTCCTTTTATGTGATAATAACCACACTCTTATCTCATACTTGAGATCAAGAAATAAGAGGGCTAAAAATTTTGAGACTTCATTTTTAAAAAAAATTGTTATACAGTTTAAATTGTACAATATAAATTGTTATATAAAAATACTTCTAGTATTTTTTATTTTGTAGTTTGAGCTATAAAAATAGGAATTTTTTTAATAAAAATACATTTTAAAATGAAAAAGAAAAATTGTTTTATTACCCTAAAAGAAAAATGGAAGAGGAAAAAAGATGGGTTGTTTGACAACTCCGACCCGACCCGACCCGCCTCAGTTCACACGTGTTCGACTGTAGGCGAGACATGAACCCACGAAATTACGAAATTGAAGCGCGCCAAATTGATGACATTTTGGAGGCAAAATAAAAAATTTTGTGGAATATGAAAAAACGCCCCTCTTCAGATTTTGTCATCATTTCCCGTAGCAGCACCCAAATCGAAAGCCTCAGATCTAACACGTCGGTCTCGCTTCCTGTTCTTCTCTTTCCTTTTCTCTCTCTCAGTATCGAAATCCAAGGTTTTTCTGTAAGAATCTTGTTCGTTGGTTAAGTCATAAGTGTTAGTGTTTGGTTCGCTTGGTGAATCACTTGGCAACAATGGCGGACGGACTGGTGGTTGTCGATTTAGATGATTGTCGGAAGGACCCTAAAGTGCAAATCCAAGATCAATCTAGGAAGACCCAGAAGAGAAAGAGATCATCTTGGATTCTTGAGGGTTTGAGCAGTGAGCCGAAAGAATCCATGGTCAATGGATTGCAGCATGAAATTGAGGGGCTTTTGGCGTATTACAAAGAAATCATGGATCAAAAAGTGGGTTTTGGTTTGGGGTCTGATCTGGGCTCTGTTGACTCTGGTTCAGTGAATGCAATGGTTGCGGTTCTGATGGAGGAAAGTGAGTTGCCACTGTCCAGACTGGTGGAGGAGATTCATGGCAGGGTCAAGGAGAAGATGGGAAATTTGACTTTACCGACAGTGAAGAGTGCGGTGTTGTATGTGGGTCAGAGAATGATGTATGGAGTGCCCAATGATGATGCTGATGTGTTGGAGGATGTTACCCCTTCCTGCCTGTGGTGTTGGGAGGTACTTCTTGTGTCATTTATGTTTCTTGTCTTTCTTCTTATTTTATCGTGTCTATCATATTGTGTTTTGGTGTTGGGAGTTGCGTTTGCTTTTAGGATTAATTTATTTTAGGTGTTTCCATTAATGTTGACTGTTCATGGATTTACATGAATTTGTGAAAAGATCTTTAAAGGTTAAGTTGAAATCTGTTGCAATAATTTTTTTGGTATTAACCTCTCAATATCCGGTAACCACATTACATGAACTTAAGACCTTGCTTAAGAGGAACCGAATACCTTTCACTCAGATCAATAGGTTGTTAGTGAAATTTGTTGCAATATTACAGTGTAAACATCGAATTTAGCCTAAACCCTCAAGAATTTACTCTTGTATTGTTAATGCAGGCGGCCAACTGACAATCTACTCTTGCATCTTTTCTCTTTGCAGATCACTATCCCTTGTTTCGTTCTTTCTATCCTATCACATCAATGCTCAGAAAATAGAGTTTTATTAGGCTTACTAATTGAATTCAATCCTATTTCCCATTTTTCCATTTATTGGGTTTTAATCTTTTTTCTGCTTAATCTCCCATGCCTGATTTCCCATGTTTGGTTTCCGGGTCTTGTTTCTGCTTAATCTCCCAAGCTTTCAACTTTCTTTTGAATAATGGTTCTATAATATGTTTTGTATATTATTGGTTGACCTTTAATCCTAATTCTTCTAGTCACAAGTACCTGGAATATGTAACTCTTATCTTGTCATGACTCTTAAATGGAACGCCATGTTTATTGCTCCTTGTTTAGTATTGCCAATTTACTTCTTGCTTGTTTTATAGATAAGAGACGCAAAGTTCGTGCCAAAATCTGTTCGTGGAGCATTGAAAATTCGAAGCACTTGTCGGAAGAAGATTAATGAGAGAATTACTGCTGTCACTGGTAAGCATATAATTTTCTGATGGTGTTTCTACTTTTAGTAACTCTTTTTTGGGTGTTAAGTCATTAATTCCTTTTGTTAGTGTACATTCTTCTTTAATAATTGTAGTTGAATTAACTGGACACAGTTACGGACTCACAATAGCTGCTTTCTCCTGCATCTTAATTCAAATCAGTTTCCCTTTCTTAGATTATATTTGCCACGTCAATCTTTTAGAGCATAATGCTTGTTCATCTGATGGTTAAGAGAGGAACTTGTCTTTACTCTTTAGATAACAGTCTGAACCTTTTGGCCAGGTTGGATTTGCTTAAGATTTTGCTTTTTTGGAACACCATTCTCAATTACTGGGCCAATCTGAGAAGTAACTATTCTTTCTTGTTGATTAAGATGTCATTCAGTATTGTTCCTCATAAAAAGGTCCCAACTGTTGCAAAAAAAATAAATATATTCTAGATATGACGATGGCTATCACAGTAAAACTTTAACTCCCCGACATATTGATCTGTTAATTATGGAAAAAAAAATTTCACTGACAGTGCATTATAGAATGATCTTGTGGTGAATGTATCATTGATTTTAAGCTTAAGGTTATCACTATTTCTAAGGTCACATTGTTTTAATCTTTCCTTCATGTTTGATGTGCTCTGACATTCACCTAGAATTCTCTGATTTTATCAATTTAGCAATTTAATTCTCCTCATAATAGGTTACTGATATTTGTGGCTCATTACAGAAATGATAACCGCATTAAAGAGGTCAGAGAATGATCAGACCTACAAAGATGATCTGATCAAAGCAGCAGAAAAACTTAGTAAAGTGTCAAACGAGGCAAATATTCGTCTGTTAGTGCATAACATGTTGCAGAAGAGTGGTACAGAAAAGTATGCAACTGCAGTGGCTTCATTATGTTTCTTGCTTTTAACTTGCTTTCCTCTGAATCTTTTTTTTTTAAAAATTTTCAAAGGGCTGACAAAGAAGCAAAGAAGGAAGAGAAATTACTAGTCAAACAATTGGAGAAAAACAAAAGAAAAGCTGAGAAGGAGAAGAAAAAAAGGGACCAGGAACTTCAAAAAGAAAAGTTGCAAAGTGTATGAGTAAAACTTTCAAGTTTCTTCCATTCCATGCCACATTTATTTTTTATCTGTTTGTCAATAGAAAGTGGAATAGACTACTAAGATTATGGACTGTGGTGAATTTTTTTATTGCATGTGAATGTTTAAACTTGCATTCTTCCTCTGACAACTGGTAATCTTCGCTGCTTCATTTATACATGGAACACTTTAATGTTTGTAGGAAAAGAAGCAAAAGCGTTTGCAGGAAGCAGCAGAAAAGGATGAAAAGCATCGTGAAAAGGAGGAAGCTGAGATGAGGAAGCAGCGAGGAAAACAGCAAGAGGAAGCAGAGAGAGAACAGCGACGGCGAGAGAAGGAAGAGGCTCAAGTGAAAAAACAACTTGACATAAAAAGGCAGGCTTCTGTCATGGAGCGCTTTCTTAAAAGAAATAAAACTTCACCATCCCCGACTGATAATTCTCCTAGTAAACCAGTGATATCCAATCCATCCAGTCAAAAGAGTGAACAGATGCCTGAAGCAGTTACACTATCAATGGATTCTGTTCTTTTATCCCATGGTCAAGTCAACATTGATGATCTCCGCAGGTTGGTTTCCTTGTATTGCTCAACTTTATTTTGAATATATCGTGTATGTTTAGGGTTTATTTTATTTGAGTGTTTTCATTGTGAATTCACATAACATTCTTTGCAGATTACAATTGTCATCTTGGCGTTGCATGGGTCATTCTCTTCATTTATATGGTAAACAGTGTTGGGGCATGCGCAAGAAACCTAGGACTGAATTGTTTAAGGAACTAAAGTTAACTACTAATAAAGAACACTATTCTGGTCATGATTCGAGCATTGAAAAGATGGTAGGTGGATGGGGATCATGCCTTGCTGATGCCAATAATTCAGCTCCTGATGTTAGAAAATGCAGTGGTAGAAAGCAATTGTTGCAGTTCAATGAGAATCATAGACCTGCATTTTATGGTATTTGGACCAAGAGAAGGTAAGTTTTGTTTTCATGTGTTTGTAACCTTTTTATGAGGCTAAGCTTGAATCTCTATAGAAACGTTGTTGCTTTTTTTTTCTTTTTAAATAATACAATAGAAATATAGTTACTAACTGAAATGAGTTATCTTATAAATGAATTAATGTGTTACATGTTTTGACCTATATTCTCTAGTTACCTTTTAAAGGTCCATTGTAAGAGCACTTCTGCAAATGAACAATGCAATAGATAATTTGTTTTATTTATATGAATTGACACTGTTTCAAATTTTATGACATGTGGGGGTTGTAAATATTTTGTTTTTGACACGGATGTCAATGCAAGGATTCCTTTTCTCCATAGTCTCCAAAAATTGTTTTTGTGAGTCTTATTAACTAATGAATTTTGAGGTTACTGATCCCTTACTATTTGATAACTTGTCCACCATCCGGGAAGGGCCCTGGTTTCCACAAATGATTTGGGGCTCCTAATAATTGTCTACAGTAGGTTATTTTTGGTCATTTTTTTCCAAGACTGTCTCAGCAATGTGAGCAGCATGTTTTATTTCTGACAATCAAGTCATAAGAAGCTTCATTTTATTGGATCTCTTTCCTATAAAAGTCGTTAAAGCTTCAGTTCCTTACCTGTACAATCTCAATGTCAAGATGCATTATGGAGTTGATATTTTGTGTTATGTTGTTTTTTCAGTAAAATTGTTGGACCTCGCCACCCCTGGAGGAAGGACCCAGAATTAGACTATGATGTTGACAGTGATGAAGAATGGGAAGAGGTACTATTCTTGTTCTTCAAACTAAATTAGGTATAGACAACAATATGGAAAATTAGAAATAATAATGTCATTTTCCAGGAGGAGCAAGGGGAAAGCCTCTCAGACTGTGATAAAGATGATGAAGAGGAGAGTCTAGATGGATGCTTGAAAGCCGATGATGATGAAAGCGAAGATGGCTTTTTTGTCCCAGATGGCTATCTATCAGAAAATGAGGTAAAGAGAACTATAAGATGTTTTTTCGTTCTTGTGCAAGTATCTAAACTACAGAAATTGCTCTCATTGTTACCTAAAAGGAGTCACTCTAAGTATGTATATGATTCTTGCATGCAGGGAGTACAAGTTGACAGGATGGAAGCTGATGTTGCCCCTGGGACAACACATTTAAATAATTATAAGGAAGACGTGCAGAGTGAAGACTTCTGTGCATTGCTACGGCAACAGAAGTATCTTAACAATTTAACTGAGCATGCACTCAGAAAAAATCAACCATTGATTATATTGAATCTAATGCATGAAAAAGCCTCATTGCTAATGGCTGAAGATATCAGTGGTGTCCCTAAACTGGAGAAGACATGCTTGCAAGCGCTAAGCATTCGTGAATTTCCAGGTTGCTCCCCTGTAGGGATATCAGTTGATAACTTGCAAGAGGAGGATCAAGAAGCTTCCCTGTCAAGTGGAAAGGATAGCACAAGGCCATTCTCAACAACAGCCAAATTTCCAGACTCAGATTTGCTGATAATTGTAAGTTGTGCATTTGATAGGAGAGTACTCAGCTGTTCACTGCACATAGTGTTGAATGATATCACAATCTTAATGATGTTTTTCACATGTCAAGGGACTGGGAATTTTTCCCTGAGCCAATGATTTTAGCGTGAAACTGCAATGTTTGGCTGCTAATGATAATCTCTCTGATCTTTTCAGGTATCTACCATCCAGTCCTGTTCACAGAGTATTGTTAAGCTAGTTGACTGTTTACAACAAAAATTTCCAGCAATTTCAAAGACTCATTTAAAAAATAAAGTGCGTGAAGTATCAGATCTTGTGGATAATCATTGGCAGGTTAGTGGGGAAAATTCAGATTTGTCAGGTTGTTCTGCTTGTGTGAATTAGAATTCAACAAAGTGATCAATTCTGCACTGTGTTACATGTTTTATCTAATTCTCAAGCTTGGATCAATCATTAGTCTGCATTAGTTTATACTTTATAGAAGACTGTAGTACCACACCTGGTTTAGAAATTGGTTGTGTGGTTGAATTGACTGTATGTCATGATAATAATGGATATGAATCAGGGAAAATAAAATTAGTAGCTCAAACCATTTTAGATTCACACTTTGGTACCTGATTTAGTGTAATGCCTTGTATTTCACATATTCTTTCTGCCCTGGACTTCAAATTGAAAAGCAAAATCATATGGATTGTTGACTTTGACTAATATCTTGCTGCAGGTCAAGAAAGAAATTTTAGTCAAGCTTGGCATGTCAGTTTCACCAGGCAATGCCTTAAACACACTGCCACTGCTGCATGTTTACTTGAGAATTTGCTTTTAACTGAATCAGTGCCTTTTTTGTTTTAACCTGCAGAAAAGGCTGGTACAAGGACCAAAAGTATAGCCACATTCTTCTCAAAAAGATGCTTGCCTCCTGCTGAAAAGGATATCAGCTCCATTGGAACCTCTACCCCGCCAGCATTGAAACCTGGTTCTGCTACTGACGAGTTGCATAGTGACACATTCAGCCATACATAACCTTATTGTTCTTGCCTTAAGCTTTCTCACTGCTTCTTTGCACCTAACTAAAGCATGCACCTAGAGATATATTTACGAGTGTTATAGCCTTGATGTGCATCAAATTTTTGTTCAGATAATGATAGTGCCATCTGGGAACAGGTTCCACCCGCAAGCGATTTTTACTGTATTTCTTTTGTAGATCTTGAATTTCTTCCCCTTTCTCAATTTCTTTTTCTTGCCTCTCACGTACGCCAACTCAATTCCAATTCAAGATCTTTGACAAGGAGATTGAAGCTCTTAATTGCTCAGACATCTTAATTGGATGAATTATTATTATAATAATCAATTAACTACTCCCTCTTTTAAAATGATTGTGATTTTTTGAACTCATTTTTTGATTAGTATTTGAGGAAAGAAATGTCGATAGTAAGAAGGATAATTCATACTAGTCTAAGTTCTAAGATTTTGCTCCATGTTATTCTCTCAATTTTTATATTAGCATAGCATGATATTTGTGTTGTAATTTTGGAGCATCCGGCCCTTTTAGACCCTTGAGATTAAGAGAATATGGTAAAAAATCAACCAAGAATTTGTTATAAGAAAATAAATATTAGCTAGGTGTATTACATGCATGTTAAAATTAAAGGAAGTTATATCTAAATGTGACATAGATAAACTTATATTAAATATAAACTTATTGGCTTATTGATTTAGATGAACTAAGTGACAAATCCTCAAGAGGTGGCTCAATTAATAAAGAATTTAAGATTTCAATTTGAAAATCTCAAATTTAAATTTTTGATGAGGAAGGATTTACGTAAAGGAGATTATTATTTTTTATATGGTTATTCATCATATATTAAAAAAAAAAGGTAAAGGGTGAGAGCTCTCTTGTATTTATAAGTATAACTTATTTAGGAATAATGATGAGAAAGATGGAAAAAACAGGACGATTTAACGGACGACTATAAAGTGCTATGTCACCTTAGTAAAATTACTTAATTTAAATTTTTAAAAAATTTATATATTAATGACATTACTTGCCATGTCATTCGTCTTATGATTTCGTTCTCTTTTTTCATCCACTGATTTCGTTCTCTTTTTTCATCCACTGTATCATTGCCCCTTATTTAGACATTTGTTAGTGAAGCTTGATGCACATTTTAGTATTTTATCCTTTTATAGACTTGTATAAGGGAGTTTAGGAGTTATGGCCGTTATAAATGCTTTATTTAGCTTTACCACCAAGGTTTGTATATATTATATAAAATATTATCTTGAGCATTAATTAAAACTTATTTTTTTTTTTTACTTCTATTTATATTATAGAATTATTAAATATGTTTTGATCTAATTCATGACTTTTGAACGAAGTTTAGAGTTCAAGTGTAAAGCTTTCTTGGTGATAATTCATACAGACGTTTCGGGATGTGACGAAGACTAGATGTCTAAAGTTTTAGTTAAATAAAACCTAGTTTATTCTTCTTCCTTTGGTAGAGCGTTTTGATGGCCTAAATTCTACATACAAAAAGTGAGGGAATTAAGTCTTTTATACCTATTTTTACTAAAAGTTTATAGCAAGACTATTGCAATTTTAATTCAATTAGAATTGCCTATTTGTTGTCTTCTAGTCAAATTTAAAAACAAGGAAGGAGAAGACTTCCCTTTATTCTCCTTTACAAAAGGTACAAATGCCTATAGTCCTGAAAATAGATAGATCATATATCAAAACAAAAGTATAAATTAATATAACAAATATTAACCACCAAAATAACCTGAAAAAATTCAGAGAAAAAATAAGTAGAAAAGATTTTAGAAATTAATAGCCAAAATGATATACATAGAAGTGATAAATTCAATCAACTAAAATTGTACCAAATAAAAAACAAATTCTAATCTTTTTTCGATTTTTATTTTCACAAATGGTTAGTTTCAATTCACTTTTAATTCTCTTTGATGATTTTGAAATAACCATTTTTGAAATATCAATAAAAATTGAGGGTAGGTGAGTTTAAAAAAGAATAAAATAAACGTAATTTCAAGTTTTTTTCTTGATTAAATAGAATATTTAATTAAGAGTAAGTGTGTAAGATAAAATGTGTTTTTTTAATTTTCTCTTTGAAAGCAAATAGATTTAAGTGTTTGTCTAATCTTTACTCTTATGACACATAATTAGGGCGCATTAATTACATATTTTGTCTGCTATTTCTATTTTAAAATATAAATCATTTGATTTTTTACATGTTTTTTTCAAATAATACCTTTTTTTGTAATATATGAATGATAATTAAAATTTTTTTTACCAATAAAATTATTTAATAAGATCTACATATATATATATATATATATAAAGGAAAATCTAAATTATTATTCATATACCGCATAAAAGTATTGCCTAAGGTTATCTGCAAAAAGTCAAACACTTTATATTTTGAAATGGAGGGAGTCTTAATTTATATAAGAGAACACAAAAACTAACTTCATTTTCAACATTAATAACACATGTATGATTTTAATTGAGTAATTAATAAAATTAAAGTTAGTTCTTATTTTTTATTTAATTTTAATAAGAAAAATATGTGATTAATACACTTTTAACTTGTACTATAAGAATACAAAATAGAAAAACCATAGATGTAAAATGCAAAAGAAAACAAAATTATAAACTCACAATGAATAATAGTAGAATTAAATAAGGGAGTGAAAATATTCTATTTGAGAATAACCTATAAATGTAAGATGACAAAGAAGACATCATGTTTTTGGAATACATTACATAATAAAAATAAAATAGAAGACAAAATATAATGGATTTTAGTTGTATGCAAGTAGAAGGACCCCAATGCACTTTTCCTTAGTACAGGGATGGTTGCAAATGAAATCTCATAGTAGAGGGACCAAATTTGGCTTTAACCCAATATTAGATTAATGCATTCAAGTGCCACCCTGGAAAAACGTTAAGAAAGGAAATAAAGAATGTTAAAAGACACTAACTTTTCAGTTATCTTTATCCAATAGTTTCTCAAAATATTAATTTTGTTGATTGATTTTAATTATTAATTAATAAATATTAACATATTAACTATTAACTATTAATTATTTTTATCAATTAAATTAGATAACATTAATATTTTTAAAAATAATATTTTATTATTATTTTTTTTTTACAAGGATAATGATTAGGAAGTTAGTGACTTAATTGTTAGTAGCTAGTTCTCAGATCGAGTGAATATCCTACCTCCTCAAATGAGGTACACGATCATTAAGTCGCATTTTAATGAAGTTCACAACGGTGGTGGAGCTCAAAACTCTAACCACCATCTTACCTAAGTACTAAAACTTAAAGACGAACCATTAAGCCACGAGGCCCGATTCGCATATTTTATCTTTTTTAGTGGTGCCCATACCTTATCTAAAAATTGCGAAGTCAATCCAAATTGCATTAAATAATATAAATCACCCCTATGATTACCAGATCTTCGAACCTGAGTTTCATGGATATGGTTATGATCATCATTCGGTTAAGGCCCCCAGACTTTATATAAAAAGATATTAACTTAATTTAATTCAATTATTAAAAAAATTTAAAATTAATAAAATAATTAATATTTGCTACTTAAATTAAAATCAACCAAACAATATTAAATGATATTGCAAAACATAATTAGAATAATATATTTAGTACGAAAGAAAGAATTAGTACAATGTTACGCTGTGGCAGCGTTTCTTTTTGTAATCTTCTTATTTCTC